AATTTACGTTCATATTAGCAATATACGAGATTGTCTGTTTCTCTGGATCCCCACCAACATATATTCAGCTTTTTATTCATGTTAATCTGGGAGTTAAATAAAACGTATCTTACTATATTTTAGCTTGTATTTAATTTATATTTCAGTGCAAATACCAAGAAACAATATAGAGAAGTGGTGGTGTCTATGGTCAAGCTGCCTGAGTTTGAATCCTCATCACACCACCAGCTGAATGTATTTGAGAAAACTTAACTTCTCCATGCTTCAGTTTCCTCATCTATAAAATGGAGATAAGAAGAGGGCCTACTTCAACAAAAGGTTGTTGTGGGAATGTAAAGCACCAACCCAGGCATATATGACATGCTTAATAAATACTACCTACTGTGAGTGAAATTCATCATCTTTTAAATTTGTTTAAGGGCCATCTAATTTCCTTTTTTTTGTTAACTCATTTAAATTTACTCATTTTCTTATTGGGCTATTGGCATCTTAATATATTTCAGAAACTAGCCATTTGTATATGCTATGAATTGCAAATATATTTTCCTAGCTTGTAATTAATTTAACTTTGTTTGGGTGGGTTTGTTTTATATCCTCTGGTTTTTAATCATAGTTTGAAAGTCCTACTACACTCTGAGATTACAACAAGAAATACCCTGTATTTTTCATCAGAGGCATGGTGATACTTGGCATTCTATCCTCTTCGTCTCTTCTTTTTCTTTTCTATATCCTCATCTCTGCTTGCTGCATCACGGGTCATTTTTTTCAAAGAGCACTTCCATTAACTCTCTCTTTGTTCCTTCTTTGGGGTTTGGTTTGTTCTTGTTTTTCTAGTTCCTTAAGATACATTGTTAGGTTATTTATTTAAAATATTTCCACTGTTTGATGTAGTTGTTTATTGCCCTCTTAATACTGCTTTTGGTGTATCCCATAGGTTTTGATATAGTGTGTTCATATTATCATTGGTTTCAATCAATGTTTAAATTTTCTTCTTAATTTCTTCATTGACTCATTGGCCATTCCAGAGCATCTTGTTTAATTTCCAGGTGTTTGTGCAGTTTTGAAAGTTTCTCTTGTTACTGATTTCTGGTTTTATTCCATTGTGCTGAGAAGAAAACTTGATATGATTTCAATTCTTTTAAATTTGTTGAGACTTGTTTTATGACCTAACATGTGGTCGATCCTGGAGAACGTTCAATGTGCTGAAGAAAAAATGCGTATTCTTCAGCTGTTGGATAAAATATTCTGTAAATGTCTGTTAGGTTCATTTGGTCTAAAGTGCAGTTTAAATCCAATGTTTCATTATCAATTTTCTGTGTAGATGATCTGTTCAACGCTGAGAGTGGAGTATTGAAGTCCCCAACTGTCATTGCACTAGATTTTATCTCTTCCTTTTAGATCTAATATTATTTGTTTTATATATTTAGGTGTTCCAGTGTTTTATGCATATATACTTATAATTGTTATGTCGTCTTGCTGAATTCATCCCTTTATCATTATTAATGATTTTGTTTCTTTTTACAGTTTTGGACAGTTTTAGAGTCTGTTTTATCTAGTGTCTTGCTCACTTTTGCTTTCTGTTTACAGATAATATCTTTTTCCGTCATTTTACTCTCAGTCTTTACGTGTCTTAACAGGTGATGTATTATGTTGTAGGAGCATATACTAGATTATGTTTTCAAAAATCCATTCAGCTAGTCTGTTTTTTCTAAGTGGGGAGTTTAAGCCATTTATATATTTAAGGTTATCACTGATTGGTAAGACCTACTGTCATTTTGTTAATCGTTTTCTAGTTGTTTTGTATATCTTTTGTCCCTTTCTCCCTCTCTTATTGTTTAATCATTGCAGTTTGGTAGTCTTCTGTAGTAATAAGGCTTATTCTCTGTTTTTCATTTGTGTGTCTATTAGTGATTTTATACTTTTGCATGTCTTCATAATGATGATTATCTTTTTTCACTTCCAGATATAGGAGTCCCTTGAGTATGTTTCATAAGATCAGTCTGGTGGTAATGAATTTCCTTCATTTTTGCTTGTCTGGGAAAAGCTTTCTTTCTTTTTCCTTTTTCTTTCTTTTTTTGAGATGAGATTTCCCTATGTTGTTCAGGCTGATCTGAACTCCTAGGCTCAAACAGTCTTCCCACCTCAGCCTCCTGAGTAGTTGGGACTTCAGGCATATGTCACGAAACCTGGCTCTCCCTTATTTCTGAAGAATAGCTTTACTGGGTATAGTATTCTTGGCTGCCTTTTTTTTTTTTCTTTCAGTACTTTGAATATGTCATTTCTTTCTCTCCTGGCCTGTAAGGTTTCTGAGGATAAATCTGCTGTTAGTCTAATGGGGATTCTTTATATGTGATTTGATGTGGTTTTTTTTTGTTATTTTTAAAATTCTTTCTTTATGGGTGCTTGAAGTCCTCCTACTTTCAATTTTCCCGCAGAGTCTCATGCACTTATTGTGGCACCTGGGTCTTGAGGTGCAGGTTCACTGTTTATGGCAGGGTTGGATGTAATTTGCCTGCAGAGCCAGGATCTGCAACTCTGAGGAAACCCCTAGAAGCTTGGACCCAGAGAGTTTGGTTTTACCTGTGATTCTACCCCTGTGGGGAGGGTATATCCAACTCCAGGGAAGAAAAGGAGCTCTGGAGTTTAGAGTACAAGAGCAAAGTATATCTGCAATTTGGGAACCTGGTCCAATAGAGCTCAGTGGAAACTTGGGTCCCTGGGGATGAGGCAACATGTAGTGGTGACTCCGGGATGGCGGACTCAGTAGTATTCCAGACTCTGTGAGGCTAGGTACAGCAGCAAACTTTCCTAGTGCCCAAGCACATCTGTTGTTTGGGCCCTGGGGGTCAGAGGAGCAGCACAGTGATGATTGCACTCCCTGGAGAGAGGCCTTTCTTGGCAGCTCAGACTCTAGGAGACTAGTCTAATGCCAGGAAAGCAAGGTATTAGAGTAATTTAACCTGTAGGGTAGAATGTCTCAGCTCAGCCACTGCCATGTTTCCCTGGAATATGGGGTACTACATCAGCTTAGCCCTGAGCTGCTCAGGTTCCAGGGCACCAATCCCCCAGGGGTTTGTGTGCCACTTCAGCTCAGGCTCAGGCATGGAGGGTGGCTGTTCTGGGCTGCCAGGCACTATTTCCCTGAGATGTGGGTCTCTGCCAAGGCACTTTTTCCTCAAGAGGCAGTACACTTTTCAATTCAGGACCTTAGAGGCAGGGCACAGCCATAACTGAGAGAAGTAGATGGGGCTATTCTGCTAAAGCACTGTTTTCTCAGGAGGAAATGTGCAGCTTCAGCTCAAGCCGAAGAGGGAGAGAGGAAGTGTAGGTGGTGCTGTTCGGCCCCATGGGCAAAGGTGTAACAGTTGCTTGAAGCTTGGCTTTGGGATGTTAGACCACCGGGCAGGGATGGTTCAAAGGTGGTTTAGCCTCAGAGATGGACAAGAGCCATGGTTACTCTCCCTTGGAGGAAGACACTCCAGCAGTAATTCCAGTTCCAAAATGGGCTCAGATAGTAGCTGTGCAGGCCACAGTGGGGTGGGGCCTAGTGGCAGCTCCTTCTCTGGGGGAAACACAACTTTGCAGACTCCAGGCAGCTCCCTCAGCTGGACTTAGTGCATGTGAGGACTTCAGGGGGACCCCAGCAATGAGAAGTGTAAGTGTCCAAAGAGTTGATGGTGGTTGCTGGGATGCTCTTGTCTACCTTTGCACCATAAAAAGAGATTCATCCTGGTTTCTAGCTGATTCTGGTTGGGAGGTGGGGTGGTGAAGACCACGTGTTTCCTTTGCTCTCTGTGTGGTCAACCTCAGTTTCCGGGCTCACTGGGGTTTCTATTACTCCTTTGCCGTACTCAGCCACTCTCCTTTAGTTATTTTTATTAACATGTGATTGTTTATGTGCTATTTGGCTATCTTTGTTGGACAAACGAGCACTAGAAGCTTTTAGTTGGCCATCCTGCTGACATCATTCTCCCCCTCATTCTCTCTTGATCAGTCTACAAACCCATCTATTAAATTCTAAATTTGATTAGCCATATTTTTCATTTCTAAAATTTAGATTTGTTTCTTTTTCCATTTACTGATTCCTTTCCTACAATGTCCTCCTCTTGCTTTGTGACGTTACCCCTTCTCTTTGTCTTTGAGCTTATCTAACTTAAAGACTCTCCGTTTTTTTTTTCTACTAACTGCAGCTATTTGTGTGTGCACTCTACCACCTTTCTAATCCATTTGTTTCCTTATGTGACTTGCGAGATTTTTAAATCATGAGCTCTCTTGAAAGAGAGTTGTTTTCCATGGAAGACCTTCAGGTCCTGGGACCTGGGAACAATCTTGTGGGGCAGTTTCAAATTCCTTTGCTGCGATTCTGTGACTTTCACTAGTTCCAGAGGAATTTTGTAATATATCTTGACTCTAGATTTCCATACTCCTGGAGTGTGCAATTTAGAGATCATGTATGCTGAATCAGCTTGAGGGTTAATTTCCTCGCATTAATTTTTCTATCTTCTCATGAGCCTATTAAGCTTCCATATGGTATCTCTGAGCTGTGAAACAGAGGAATTTCATCTCTTCCTTCATAAACCGGTAACTCCCAACTGTATATAGCTGGTTCATTCACAGCTCCTTAACATGCAGAGGCTCTGGGACTCATCAACCATCTCTCTGTTGCCATTAAAATCCCATCACCCTGACATTGAGTACCCCGAACGTACTCAACTTTGGCTCCATGCTCCCTTCTCAAGTTTTGTGATCCTTCTTTATTTCTGGCACCTGTGAATGTTGCCTTCTTTCTTTACACAAGGCTCATATTTCAGGTAAATTTTATTCTTAATTACCTTATCTGTTTTTGTGAAAAGGGAATTGTACATGTCAATGCAAATCACTCTATTGTACACAAATTCCAGAAAGACCTTTATAAAATGCAAAACTTATCATATTGTTCTCCTACTTAACATTCTCAATGTTGTTTCATTGACCTTAAAATAAAGTCCAAAGTCCCTTACCTGGGAAATAGTAGAGCAGAGCAGCTTAGAGCATGGCTTCAAGAGTTAGAATGATCTCAGTTTGTATCCATGTATGATTTCTCAACTATATGACTTTGGACTAGTTAATATCTTCACTAGTTTTCTCATCTGTAAAACAGAGATAATTCTATCACCTACTTCATACGGTTGCTGTAAACTCTAAATCAGACAAGGTTGCGATCAGTCTGCAAGAGTGGAATGAACTTCCACTCCAAATTTGGTTCAGATTGATGATGCCAAACATGCACCAAAGGGTATGAAGTGGTCCATGACTTATATAATAAAGCCTTCTGGGGAGAGCACAGCAGGTCCAAGCAGGCCCAAAAATGACTTGAGAAAGCAGGAAAAACAGACGTGACTTAGCTTTATTGTGGTTTGGTGTGAGGGTTCAGACTTGTAATTAAGGACAACACACATAAAACACACAGCATGGTGCCCACAACATCATAGGCAATAAATGTTGGGTATCACAATAATATTGTTATCATGATTTAGAAGAATTTTCATGACCTTAGTAATGTCAGTTTTCCCTATTACCCTCCTCATTCTATTCTCTAGCCATACTTCAATTTTCTTCGATTCTTGAAGATAACGTGGTCTCAGTGTCTATCATCTTGGCTTCTTTATCTGCAAGAATTTCCATTCCACCCTTTTACTTAGCTAGTTCTCAACCTCTCCTTAAGTTTTAACTAAAGTAGAATTTCTTTCAAGAGGTCTTTCCTGACTCCTCAACAAATTACACACCCAACTCTGCTCTTCCACACACACACACACACACACACACACACACACACATTATAATTCGTTTATTTGTACTTTTTCCAACTGTTTTGAAGACTTTATGGTGACTTGATCTCTCAAACCTGCCACAGTGTCCAGCACATAGTAGATGCTCAATAAACATTTGGTGAATGATGCAGTGTCTCATTTAATCCTCTTAATGCTGTAAGTCAGGCATTATTCACTTTGCCAATGGCAAAATAAAAGCTCAAAGAAGTAAAATAATAACTGAGTACCACATAAATATTAAATAATATATAAAAAATTAAAGGCTAGATTTTCTAATCCTTCCCTTCATTAAACAGCATGTTTTCCATCTCTCTTTGCTGTTGCTGTTGTTGTTTGTCTGGTTTGTTTATTTGTTTGTTTGTTTGTTTTGAGACAGGGTCTTACTCTGTCACACACACTGGACTGCAGTGGCATGATCACAACTCTCTGCAGCCTCGACCTCCCAGGCATTAGCTATCCTCCCACCTTAGCCTCCTGAGTAGCTGGGACTATAGGTGCATGCTACCTTGCCCAGACAATTTTTAAAATTTTTTGTAGAGATGGGGTCTGTCTTCTGTCTCTTACTGGATCCATTATAATTAAAGTAGATGAAGTAGACATAAAGTGGATTCCCACCTAAATAGTAGGATTTGAGAGGAGAGATACAGGAAGCCTTCTTATCAACTTGCTCCCTCATCAAGAACTGATACCAACATTTTAGCTTAGAAGTTTATCCATTAGTTTACAGTAACCTACATGAATATCCCTTGGTAAGGAGAATACAAGGATTACTCCCAGTTATCAAGGTTCCCAAATTTTATTTATTCATTTCTTCAGACTGACACCCCAAACCCTGCTCACTCTTACTCCAACCCACCTGTTCAGCTGTCTCCAGCCAGTCTATCCCTTGTCCTCCATTGCTCACTGCCCCTTCACACTTCGGTGTGTTTGTCCTCACCCTTCACTCTGCCTAGTGGGTTTTGTTTGTTTGGTTGGTTAGTTGGTTGTTTTTGATGGTGTCTCACTCTGTCACACCAGGCTGGCATGATCTCAGCTCACTGCAACCTCCGCCTCCCACGTTCAAGCGATTCTCATGTCTCAGCCTCCCAAGTAGCTGGGACTACAGGCACAAGTCACCATACCCGGCTGATGTTTTTGTATTTTTAGTAGAGACTGGATTTCGCCATGTTGGTCAGGCTGGTCTCAAACTCCTGACCTCAGGTGATCCACCCACCTTAGCCTCCCAAAGTGCTGGGATTACAGATGTGAGCCACTGCGCCCAACTCTGCCTGGTATTTTTTTTTTTCTGCTTTCTTCATCTGGATAAACAACTCATCATTCAAGAAGACAACCTCTATTTAACCTCTATTAAATCGCCACAAAAATAATGCATCCCCAGGAACCTGAGACCTCTACAAAACAAGGCAATGATACTCAGCATCATGGTTAGTGCCCAGCTAGGGCTGCTCCTTTCAAAACCATGGATGGATTCCATCATTTACTTTGTACCCTGAATTTAACAACAAAAAACCCCAAAACTCTCTGTCTCAGGCCCTGAATCTCTTACACAGCCAGTTTCCTTTCCTCTGTGTCACCTAGAAGAATATCTTAACCATTCACAGAGAAGGCAGTAATGAATGGACGTACCAAGGCAATAATAAAAATGGGCTTGTAACCAACACAGTTTTCTTCCTAGAGAATCATCCTCACCGTATGTCACAGCTGGACAACTTGTGCTTAGGAAAGGGTTCTTCCCTGCATAAAGGAGGAAGATGCAAATCCTATGAGCAACTGGGATCCCATCTTTGCGTTGATCACATCTTTTACTCTCAGGTTTTCACCTGTGATGATTAAAAGGAAAAGCTCCTGCACTTCCCATATATACCACATGAGGGCCACAGAGTCAAACCAAACCAAGAAGCAGCAGTAGGGAAAACGAGGCAGAGATGAAAGTGAACCCTGCTTTAGGTTGGCAGTTCTGTAGTCTCATTCACATTGCTCTGTTCTTTCCTTATCTTCCAGGACTTGGGCAAAATGTCCTCCACACTGAGTCTGGGCTAGAAATACACCTCTCCAGGTTGGGATTTTCCCATAAAATAATGAAGTATTGTCTAGCTGTTCCTGTAAGGTTTTCTAGGAGAAAAGCAGAAAAGGCCTAACTTCCCTCTAATATTGTCTAGAGTAATAGGTCTAGACATGTGTATGCTCTCCGGTCTCCTTTCTGACTCTAACAAAGGCTCTGGCAGTATAGCACAGTGGTCAGGAGCCCAAGCCAGGAGCCAGATACCCTGGGTTCAAATTCCAGCTCCACCACCTACTGGCTGGATGACCTTGGGAGAGTTACTTAACCCATCTATGCCTCAGTTTCTTCTGCGAAATGGCTGTGATAGTAGTACTTACCTCATAAGGGAGTTCTGAGGTCTAAAAAGGCACTCAGCTCAATAGTTGGCAAGGAGACAAGAATTGTCTGCATTATTATGACTTTCTCCCCCCAAAAGGTACTTCAAATATCAGAATCTTATCAATGGTCCCCTGGTGGAGAACTGCTGGACCAGGACAGACATCCTGAGGATTTTTTTATTCCTCTTCTCTTATTCCTTCTCTTCCTTCTGACTCAGAAAAATGCTACAGCATGGAGGTTAAGAAACTGGACATTGAAGACAAACACACATTATCTGAAGTGAAATACTTGTTCCATTCTCAGTATGACCTGGAAAAGCAATTTAATCTTTAGTGACCCCATTTCCTTATCTGTGAAATGGGGATAGTATGATAACAATTATGCATCATAGGTATATTGTGACTATTACATGAGATAGTGCATGGAAAGCTCTAATAAGAGTGCTTGGCATATTGTAATTGCTCACTAAATGTTAGCTATTATTGCTATCAATCCTACATTCCACAAGCACTTACTATGCACCAACCAAGCATGAAGCACTCTTAGACACTGGTCACTAATGAAACAATCCATACTGTATTTTTTTTTTTTTTTTTTGAGACGGAGTCTCGCTCTGTCACCCAGGCTGGAGTGCAGTGGCACAATCTCGGCTCACTGCAAGCTCCGCCTCCCAGGTTCACGCCATTCTCCTGCCTCAGCTGGGACTACAGGCGCCCGCCACCATGCCCGGCTAATTTTTTTGTATTTGTAATAGAGACTTGGTTTCACCGTGTTAGCCATAATGGTCTTGATCTCCTGGCTTTGTGATCCGTCCGCCTCGGCCTCCCAAAGTACTGGAAAACAATCCCTATTCTTAAGGAGCTTAAGAGCTTCCAAGTTAAGATTTGCCAAGGCTTGATTCACCTTGTGGAAGCCACGGTTACTATGACCTTGTTTGGAGAGACAGGCACTCAGAGAGGTCCATCTCAGATGATACTTTCCTTGGAGAATCTGTTTCAGAAAGGCCACTCCGCCTTAGACCTCTTCCTTTGTGGGATCCAGGAATCCTATGGTTTTCTCAGGCAGTTCTGGCCTCTAACTCTACTTACCTCTCTGCACCCAGGCTCTCTGATTCTACTGACCTACTATTTTGTGTCAGGAGAAATAGTAGAAACAGGATAGGAGAGTAGTTTCGACATGTTCTAGCTCAAATGCTAGATCTTCTGCTTCTATCTGATAAGCTACTTAACCTCTCTGAGCTTCTTTCCTCATCAGTAAAATGGAGTAAAACAGTACCTACCTCATAAGGCTGCCGTGAGCATTAAATGAGTAAGCATATGACAGGAGTTTAGAGTATTGCCTGGCATGAAGAAAGCATACAGAAGAATTTGCTATTATGGATATATTTTTTCAATTGACAGGTAAAAATTATATATATTTGTTATGTGCAATGTATCTTGATATATGAATACATTGTGTAATGACTATATCAAGCCGTTTAACATGTCCATTGTCTCACATACTTATTTTTATGCGATGAGAACACTTCAAATCTGCTCTCTTAGCAATTATTATTACCTTTAGTCACTGTGATGTACAATAGACCTCTTAAACTTGTTCCTCCTAACTGAAGTTTTGTGTTTGTTGACCAAAATCTCCTGTAATAATGGTTATGGTTATTAACTTCAAAGCGAGTCAGCATAGCAAGGACTCTACCTGACCTGCCTGGAGAAGTTCTCCCACAGGTGTGGCTAACAATCCTGTTCTTTCAATTCACCAGTATTCTTCTCTGACACAGTTTGACAAGGCCTGGTCCTAGGGGACAGCAGAAGAGAAATATCGAGGACCAAGGGACTGGAGGAAGGTAGAAAGAAGTGACCACATAAACACCATTGGCAGGAAAATTCAGCTCTCTCCAGCCCCGTGGGACCTCAGGAGCTAGATGGAACCATTTCTTTAGGGAAAGCTGGCAGTTGTTTATACAACCGCAAGCTGAGCGTCCAGGTGACCAGTCCAGCGTTTTTTCCCCAGCACCTCTCTGCACACTTCTC